TTTGAAATACCCCCGAGCACAATTTACAATACATGTATATATCATAAAGAAAACTTGTGGCATAGATAACCTACTTGAGGAGTTAGCCCGCGTACATGCAAATTTCTAAATTATTATGCTACCGTTGGTGTGGCGGTTTCTTGCCATTCCCCGCGGATGGCTGAGACGAGGTAAGGGTATAAGGAGGGGTATATAATATGTGAGAGATGCAGGCTGATGCGACGTGCGCACTGGATTCTAGTGCATAGTGGAAAGAGCCAACCATGATATAGAAGTTCGATCGTTTTCCCCATCTTTCTCGCATCTCTCTTCTTTTCAGGCCATTCGTTGCACTTAACCCCGGGTAGCTGGTTATCTACGAGCAACCACCGATCTATGGCCACCCTTCTGCGGCCAATTGTCGACGCAATTAATCTAACGCGCGTGTATCGCCTGAGGAAAATGCGACCACCCTGGTGAAGAGATTATTACATGGAATGTAGATACTTGCAAAAGATGAGATACTATTATAAGACACTTGCTATGAGTTTATATAAGTATTTATGAGAATAATAAATGCTATTAAGTTTTATCTACTTATCATTTATATTGACTAATTATTATCGTTCTCCCACTTTAAGGATTTTTATTCTGATCTAGAAAGTTATTGAAGGACCCTTTGAAAAATTATTTTTAGTTATTTCATCATTTTATATATTAATCATCGACTTCCTCAATTTTTTGGTTTAATTATTTTATTATTGAATGATAAATAATATGATGACAAGGAGAATATTGATGAAAGTCAACTTGTAAAATTGTTGTAATATTTTTGTAAACATTTGGATTAGTTGAATAAATAATTCTCATGAACTGCATAATTGTGTTCAAAATTAATTAATATTGTAATAATATTATCATTGCGATAAAAATTATTAAACTGTATAGTAATTTTTAAGGTAAAATTAGAGTAAAAATTATTATGCAGTTTAGCAATGTATTTAAATAATTTAAAACTTACTAAAACTATGATTACTTAAAATTATTATAAAAAGAATCTTTCTAGAAGTATCTTATGTAAAAAAATTATCAAATTTAAACACTAGAATTTTTGTAAGGTCAATAAGAAATATTTTTTAAACATCACAATGTAGATTTTTATTGAAAAAAAAACATATTTCAGCTTGTGATTACAATCTCACTTATAGACGGATTTGAAAAAAAATTTATTTGAAAAGAATATTTTGAAATACTCATATAATATAGTATATCACATCCTGATGTAAATAATTCAACTTAACATCAATCTCTGAACCGATAATTCATATTTCATGAAGTTATTAAAATTAAATTAGCATTGTGGGTATTTAAAAAAGGTTGATTGTTACAAATGATCCTTCCCTGCATATTTAAGATACTTAATAATAATTTACTTGGATTTTTTTTGTCTCTAATCACCTTGATGTCTCTACAACTACTGCTAAAAACGCTGAGAAGTATCTCATCATATCCTTTAGAATTGTCACAAGCAACCCTTGAACTCCTGAGTGTTATCCCCTGTCGTCCCAAGGACTAAAGATCCCTCAACAGTCCTAATCCAAATTTCAAAACCTCACATTTGCCTTTGAGTCTTCATCTATTCCCCCTTCAATTCATCTTTAAACGAGTGACATATGTACATGATATTTTATACTATTCCAGCAGGCTTCTGTACATTTTTAACAGCGTGTGAATAATTTGTAATTTCAAATGGTACTGATATCCTTATTCCTTTCTGTATATTTAAATTCACAAAAAAAATTACAGGTCGTTAAATATTATTATATTTTTGTATTGTATTGTGACATGAGCTAGACAACTTTGGAGTACAGATCAATTCAGCTGATTCTGAACTTACCAAAAGTTTATTATACTCGAAGGATTAAACATATACAACATATGCGTCCTTTCAAACGAGTTAGAATTTAGTTACGTCGAATAGGAAGCGCGGTATATCAAAGCTTTAACTTTAATCGTATGAGAGACAATACATTGCGTCTTAATCCCTTTCTCCTACGTCAAAATATAATATTACATCTGTAACTTTATCATCAATAATTCGTAAATAAATTCAATTGTGTATTTGACTTGGATCAATAGTAAGTAATAAATTTCGTGGACTGGATTATTTTGATAGTAAAACTTTAAAAGGTTTTATTTTGCTCCTGCATTGAGTGAATATGTAAAGCTTTCTTTTACACATTTCTGATTACATAAAAGTGGGGTGGTATATTATGAGATACGTGGGAAGCAGATGGAGAGAAGAGCAAGCCCTTAAATAAGATAGAGAAGTAGAACATCTCAAGATCCATAAATGTAAACGTGTCCCACGTGCAACGTCGTAAACTAGAATTTATTAACACTACCAACGACAAAGAGATTCAGTAAATGGTTTTCAATTTGTACCAACATACTTTAGGGCACACATGTTACAGCAATACATGTGGGTTTGTAGTTTGTTATTGTATTGAACATCTTCGATTGGGAATTACTTCCTTTTTAAAAATTTCGTCTTGAGAATTTTTATTTCTATACACTAAATAACCATAGATAAGAGAGTTTATATTTTAAAATGAATATTTTTACTTCAAAAAGCTTTCGTTTTTCAATTTAAAAAAAGAAATAATTTTTCCAACTTATTACGTAATTAATTATTTAATTATTTTTAATTGATTAAAAATGTGAGTAATTTGAAATATTTTCATTTTACTCATAATCTACAGGATATTTTTATCAATACAAAAAAGTAATTCAACAAAAATTGGTTCTGAATGTGAAGAAATTTTTATTTAACGTAAGTAATGTTTCTGATCAATTAGAAATCAAATTGAAATTAGTGATTAAATTTTGAAACATGCACCAAAAATAAAAAATCATATATCATTTTGTATCTGTCTTGGTATTCAGTGTAATTTTGAAAATTTAGGTAAATAATAATTAAATATAGAGATATAATTCCAAGGAAAACCTATTTTGCAGTTATCTACTTTAGATGTCCTACTTTTTTCTAGTATTATAAGCTTAAACTTGACTGATAAAAATAAGAATTCTAATTAACAATTTAATAGAATGATCTAAAAAAATTGCAATACTAATGAAAAAAGAATTGATATTCTCAAAGCACAATGTCTCTAATTCAAACAATATCTCCAGCAAATTAGCTCTAGACATACGTTGCATTTCGAAGAGTAGATCCAGACGTTTATAAAAAAACTTGTGTCTTTATTCCACCCTCAGTCTCCTTCATCACATTCTCCTACTCAAAGCTACCCCTTAGTTTTTCCCCACCACCTGCATTAACCTGGTGTTACCATCACCAGCTTTCCCGAGGAGAATTAGCTAGCGGGTGTGGGGCTACGGGTGAGGGTATAAGGGTTGATAATAAAAAGAAGAAAAGGGAAGAAGCTTGCACTATTGAAGCAAATGCATCGGACAGAAAAGTCCAAGTGGTTGGGTAGCCGAAGGGGTAGTTAGATTATAAGGAAAAGCGTGGGAAAGAAGATGCTCGGGAAAGCACGAGTCATGTGAAAGCTCCGCCTGCAAGCTCTTTTGGAAACGCCTCAGCGACACGCCCAGTGAGTACAAGATCTGATGGGTAAGAGGAGCTTTTTAAGAGAGGGAGGAAGTTTATCAATGCGACCTGGTCCTCGTCTGTTCTCCGGTCACCCCTTCCGCGCACCACAAAATGTCTGCCTTTCACATTAGAGATCCACTGCAAGAGGGGGTAAACAACCCCATAGAATAAGATGCAGCTTGTAATACACTCTATAAGGGTTTATATTTATACATCCTTCAGGATAGAATCGTTAACTACGACGAGCTTTGCGCCTGTCTCCATTGGCATCCAGTTTACTATTTTTACCATAATGATGACATTTTTGTTATCAACGGAATGGCAAACATTGTTGATTGTCGCTAGCCTACTAGACTAGTTACACTCATTACATCAACTTCAATACTTTTTCTAAATTCTTTCCACCATTTTTTATCAAATCAGGTATCCCTTAATCGCATATTTTAATAAGATTAAACTAAATGCATCATTACAATAAATCACTTGTGCTATTTATAAATAATGTATTAATCTTAATTCATTTTAACAATATATTTAGATTAAAGGATTACTCTAATATGGTAATTGAGGATTAATAAATCGATCTTTCTCCTTTTAATACCGGTTTCGATAATGTTTCTCTGATCTTACTCTAGGATTAATAAATTAAATGAAGACTACGCAGTTTATCATGTAGGAAAACATCAAAAGTGGGTGTAAGTGATTTTATTATACCAACAAGAAATAGCTAGATAAAGTGTTATCATAGAAACCATGCGGAAAGAAAACCGGAAAGGGAGAGATAGATTAATCTCAGCAAGACAACTGATTAATTAAAAAATATTCTATGAAACGCTAGTTGACTTCCCGGTAGAGAAAATTATTGTAATTACTCAAAATACTAACACCAAAAATTTTTCTATATTTACAAGTTTCAAGGTCTTGCAAATATGATTGCATAATTTGTGCTAAATTTAATTTTAAAAATGATTTAAACAAAAAAAAATCATTAAACTCCCATTGGATTTAAATAAAATTATTAATTGTAAATACTGGGTTTATTTTTCACTTTTAAAAGCGAGTGTATGATGAAATAGTTGATTTAATATTGAAATAAGGTTGATTCTTCCAAGCCATGTTTGGATTTTGAAGCATCATCTATAGGTAGATATAAAAAGATGACGCGGATGGGGCGGGATGAGTCTCGAGATCCTCCCGCTTGGTGTATAAGAGAGTGCGCGAGGAGATGAGAGAGGGTTGACCGAGTGGACGCGAGAATCGGGGTAGATCCGGGCAACGACGATTAGTTGGGCGATAGTAGGGTGGCGCACGCGGGAGACGAAGTGGCAGCAGCACCACGCGAGTCTGACCGAACTCGGAGGGGCAGATTGGGCGCCGCAGCGCTCGAGCACGCACAGTCGCGGCTCGAGTTCCGTACTATGCGTATCGTTCCTCATGTGTGTCACATCACTTGATATATTCTATTAATATTTAATCCCCTTAAATACTCTCACGTTTGTACGTTTGGGTATTTTAATCGAACACTACAGGGGTCGGTTTTGAATAATAGTGAAATATGTTGAGGAATCTGATCTCGATGCTTGACGACGGTTTGACTTATTCAAAAATCGCGGGAACAATAAGTGCTCAGTGAATGGATTTTTAACCCTACCAAGCAACGGAAAAAAATAAAAGAAAGCAAACTAAACCAAATGGTGATTTTTAATAGTGTTCATATTAATCTTGTGGATTTAAATGTCAATTTATTATTGTAGATTATTGATAGGTATTATAATTATTTGATGATTATTGATTTGTAGTAATAATTGAAGAATTAACATGTTGGCTAATTATGTTGATTATTTAATAATGACAATCAATGAGTTTGGACGTGAATTGTTCATACATATTTGAATGAAATGTTAAATTAGCAACAATTGTTGGGTTGAATTTTTTATCCTTCATTCGAAGATTGTAATAAAGGGTTGGATCCCGGAGTTAACTGCAAGTGTCAAAGCGTGGAATGGATTTTCAAAGCGCAATGGAGACTTTTGCTGAGGCATGGGTGGCTGCCAATACTAAGTCAGACCCGGTTCAGGTAATAAAATTTTTTATGAGTCAAGAAATGAAATGTTTGAATACAAGCCATCATTTTAATCGCTAACACTCGTGTATTACTTATGAATAAAACTTTACCACATTTTACATTAAGAAAAATTTCTCTCGACACTCAAGGTGTAGTTGGTATTGTTAAAAAGAGTAATAACATGCAAAGTCAACCACAACTATTTTCATTTCTTTCTATGCATCACCAATATCGAGTTCATAAAATAAATATATTTTTTCATGAAAAGTATGTTTATAAGCAGATTAATAATATTGAATCGGAATTCAAAATCTATAGCACGTGGTATTTCAAGTCCCCTATTACACAGCCAATTTACCACCCTCGATTTTCTGACAGTTAGTATTGAAACAGCAGCCCTGAAGTCAGAGTTGAGATGAGTACATAAACTCTTGTCTGATAATTCGAGCACGGATATTCGGCATTGTCATTCACCTAGAATATAAATAGACATAATTCGCCAAAGTTTTAAAAGTGCATGCGTATGTTAAGGGAAGAAGGAGCATATAAACATAGCAATGCAAGTGATTGTGTTTGTAAAGGTGGGGGGTCACGGGGTTTGATCACGTTACGGATGTGCCCCTGCCTTCTTCCTGTGGCATGGGCTCACGGAACCACTGCGGCAATGGTTACAGAAGCCCGGGCTACGTCGATGCAATAAACCAGAAGCGTCTCCATTTGCACAAGAGACCCCACCGTCGGAGTAACAGTCTTCTCTCTTCGATTGGAAGAATTCGGGCGAGGTCATTCAACCGGAAGGATCACACTATCATTATTTTTTTAAGGCTTTATATGCGTTAAAAAAAATATTTAATTAGCGGGCATTATATTATTATTTATCGAAGCAAAAGGAAGGGAAAAAATTGAAAAGAAATTCAAGTTCGCAGCATCGGTTATAAAAATGGTTTTTTAAATAAAAATCACGTCCTGTTGGTCGTTGCACGCGAGTGTTATTAGGATTCCGGTGGATAAAGCGACGTCTCGCGAAACGACCACGTGCACACTGACGCGTATGGTCACGCTATTTGACCACCCCACGAACCACAGAATAATCGTTATTCATCTATCCGGTGTCTGTACACCCAACTTTCAACGTTGCGACAAATCATAATATATAACTGATATACTTGCACACAAAACTTGCTCAGCACATCTACTCATAAATTCAATATATACATATATATATATATATATATATATCGGCTTCACTGATGATGTTTTGGAAAATAAAGACGCTCGGCTTAGTTCAAAAGACTACATATAGGCTATAGTTAAAGAGTCAACAAATCGTGGCGTGATCATCGAGCAGACGAAACAAATCGTCTGAATTACCGAATGTATTTTATCTCCCACCCAACACGACGATTATTGTCATCGCTGTCTTTTACGACCTATCGCAGCCGACACTTCTTACATAATCTACCCACTTGAGAGAGGCGCTTAGATATAATATTTTTTCAAATCAACCTCTCAGCGATTCATTGATCACATAAAATTGCTCGAGGACGTTTCGGTCTGCGATTAACATTAAATCAATCATTCGAATTAATTTATCTTTTTTTTTTTCATCACTTCTTATAATGTCCAGTATATGGATCTAAATTTAAACAGGAGGAAGCACCAGTTCTCAAGACATCAATTCAAATTATTTATCAAATGTTTTTTTTTTCTTTTTATTCTCGATACCTTAAGGTTTTGTTTTTTTTTTCAAATTCTTCAGTATCTGTAAATTCGTTTTTTCGAAAAAAAAGTGTCGAGTAAAGTTATTTAATAATCTATCTAGATAATTTGGATATTAATTAGTGTCACAAATTTATCTAAATTGCCATTCGTCTTGTTTTTATGAATTTATAAGGCTTCAAGTTTAAAATATTTTATTATCTGCAAGATCTTGATTAAAAAGAAATGAGAGACGTGTTATAATATTTAGTTTCCAATCCAGTTTTGAAATTAAAAAATTAATCCACAATAAATAATGCAGCCACATACTTTTTCTCAGCTTGAAAAAGAAACTTATTATTATAATTATTTTAATGGATTGTTAATAAATAAGATGAAACATATCTGTCTTGACTGTAACTTCATGTTATTGACCTTTAAAAAATATAATACCTCCAGAAAAATGAGCTCTTAAAAGCACTCTGAGCTGAATCACGCAAAATAAAAAATAATTGCAGCTGTCAAAGTGTTCAAAAAGATACCAATGACAAGAGTAATAAAATTTTTCTCAACTTATTGCTTCCAAGTGAGCTTAGGATAAGCGCTAGGATAACGTTGCTCCTCCACCTGTTGCCACAGGTCTCTTACATACTGTAGCAGGCTGTAGAATATTGGCTTTAGTGGCTGTACGTGCGGAAGAGAGTCGTTTCGTATCTCACCACGTAGTTTATATCGTTCGTTCATCACCCTATCTCATCTCCGAAACGTTGCAGTCCATCCCGTCGTTCGCACCTGTCTGTAGATGACTTGAGGTCATAAAGAAGAAAGAAGAAAAGAAAACGAAAATCGTTTCCCCACTGTGTCTCTTTCTATCCTTTTTGGAGCATTCCCCTCCTCCCGTGCCTCGTCCTGAACCACCACTGGGGCCTGTCCGACGTGTTTTTTTGCCAGGGCCTTGTGGTGCTGCTGCATACCACCGACGGCTCTTCATGGCTCCCGAAACAGTAGCCCGTGCTCGGGTACAGTCGCGGCAAGCAAGAAAAAATTCAACAAAGAATGACGGCTTAGACATTTTTCAAAATTGTGAACAAGTATATTTGCTTTATATTTTCACGCTTTTATCAAAAATTTTCATCATTTTTTTTTTTTTTTAAATTCATCTTGATTGTGTTTGGAAACAATTAAAAGTTACAAGACTTAGCAAAAAAAATTCCAAGATAACTTTAATTCAATTGTGGTTAATTACATCATCTGATTGACTAGGAAAAATTAAATTGGATTAAATTTAAAATTATGTAAAAATAATGGTGGTAATATATTTTTCAATAATATTATTTAGAAATAAGTTAATATTCTTGCTCATTTTGAATTCATCAAGATTAATTGAAAATCTTTCCTTCTGGACCTAAATTATTTTAACAATAATTATATGTATTTATAATATAACTATTCCATTACAGTGTCAATTATAATTAAAACAGGATAACAAAAAAGGAAAGAATGATATCAAAAAGTACGAAATTGAATGAAGCTTGATATCAATTGTTACAAATGTGTCATGTAGCTTAAAATAAATTTGAAATAGATAAAATCAAATAAATTCCAAGTCCAGCTATGAGAGATAAAATCAAGCTTATTCTCTCATCATACATTTCCAAACATATTCTTGGAGAACAAATCATGCAACATCACCAATTTTACAGATTTCATTTATAAGTCATTTTGCTTTTGGTTATCAAATTCATCTTTATTGTTATTATATTTTTTGCCTCAATGTACTTTGAAAATAATTTATATTTAAGAGATATAAGCTACGTTAAAGTGTTAAGAAAGAAAAGAGTTGAAGACAAAACGGCGTCATAGTTAGGGAGTGCGTGCTGAGGATTGTCGCATTCTGGGCCCAGTTGACCCTAGTTGACACCAGCAACGGCTTAGCCGCTGGGCTGGTGTTAAATTCACTCATACACAAATCCAAGTCCGCAGTCTTGTGTCTCAGTAGTATGGGACGCACTCATTTGCTGGGTGAATTGAGCACGTGCTCAGATTTCATCGCTGTGAGCGATAATAACGTATAGAATATATGCGTGTTGGCATTACTTGTGTTCTGCTGCCTACTCGCTCCTAATTACTCCATTGCACTGAATTTAACTTTCATCACTGGGTGTCCTTGAAAGCTTTTTTATAATCATCATTAATAGTCATAATAATACTATGGTAATATCTGATGATCTCTTCATCATTCAATTGATTATTAATTGAAATACTCGAGAACTCAAATTATTTTTTACACAATGGTTTTTTTTTCAAAAATATTAATAATAACTGTATTTTTACTCAAACAAAAATATTTTGATTCCAGAGCCAAGCGTTGGCATTGACGCACAAGGCATCACCGCCATCACGTCCATCAAGTGTATCTCCTATCCCAAGAAGCCCACAATCTCACCAAGCTCACGCAACTCGTAGTCCTACACCAAGACCATCCTCTGTTCATCATCCACAGCTACATCAGGTCCAACAGAGCAACCTTATCACCGCCTCCAGTATCCAACAACAACAACCTCAGCACCAACCACCACCATCACAACAAGTTCCGCAATCTTTTGGTATTCACCACAACCGTCATTCAAAACCGGAAGTTGACTCTAGTAGTCCTAAGCCTGAAGGGTTTGATCTCAGTAAAAATTCATCAGTAGCTGGTAAGTCCACTTTTTTTTTAAAACTAAATCTCTTTATATTAAAATGTTTTAATTAGAATAACTAAAAATTCATGAGATTATTATTAAAATAAAACTGTATAAAATGACTGATCAAAAGTATATTGAATTAACTGCAGATATTAGAGTTAAAAACAGATCTCAGTAAGTTTTGATTTTGTATTCAACGAGTTCAGAGCGAATGAAAGCGTGAAAATAAAAAGCGAATAGGGTAGAGGTAGAAAATCGCACGCGTGGCCCTTGGATACTAATCCGGATTAAACTCGAATCCCTGGGTTGTAGTGTGGCTGGACGAGCCGCGAAACTCGTAACACGTTCACCGAGTTTGAATTTGAACTTTTTCCTGATGTACACAGATACATGTAGGGTCTTTATACATCTCTACATACGTATGTGTAGAGATATTGTCCCTACTCTTGTTATTATAGCAACAATCGAGCCTTTCGATTCGTAAGGTAAATCCCTGAGATTACAATTATATATCTAAACAAGTATAATAATAATCATTGCTATTATTATTTGAGAATAATCCTTAACTAATCTTCATATCCTTTATGACTAATTTATTTGAAACATTTATGGCAATCAAAAATTCATTCGAAATGATGGTTAAAATGGCAATTCTGCGAATTTAACGACACGCCCTGTGTATATAGGAAGTGAAGAGAGAAGAGAGAACTTGAAGAGGAGAGTGGAGAGTAGTGCTGCAGAACTTGTGTGTCAGAGAGTTAGTATTAGCAGAGTTGTGTGTGTTGGATTTGGGATTTGGACAGTGGGTAAGCCGCTCCTGGCTCTGCACACACGTTCAATAATCTGGGATTAATCCTGAGAGCACAATACGCACACATACGCTAATAAAATGCTATATGTACCTTTGAAAATTGTATGTACCGCTCATACGAAATGAAGGTACGCCCTTCCACTAAAGAGTAAAACTATATTAATCCACGTAAATGCACATATACCAGCTCCAAAATGTTTTCGAAAATATGCAATAATGCTACTAACAATCACTTTAATGTTTATAATGTTCATTTAAATTGCCGTGGAGATATCTAGTTGGTATATGGAGATGTTGCTACACTAGAGGATTATGTTTAGCTATCCCCACCATTTGTCGCAGTATAGCTTTGATGCAAGGGCTTTCTACACCCTTGGTCTAGGGTATTCCAAGACCTTCGTGGATAATCTCACTACTACTTCAGCATTAATTCCCCTAGATGAATGTGTATATGAAACTTGATATATTCCCAACCTGCTTGTCTTGATGCTGAGCTCACAGCATCAGCTCACATAGAGTATTTGATTCGTTTTTACTGGAGACTAAAGATGAAATAAAATTTTTTTTAGAAAATGGATTATCTAGCATTACGACATCTCTTATTAATTAAATTATTCATTTTTTCAATATCTGCTTTATAACATGATGAACTGAATAAGAAATCTAGATCATCATCATCATTTTCTCACATTTTTCAAACAACATTCATGTTTTAAACTATTACTATAAAAAATCTATAATAATTGATTTTACTTGAAACCAATTATTCATAATATTTACTATTAAATAGTTAAGTAGATTTTCACTATATAAATATTAAATTTCGTAGATTAAATTTAGTTTTTTGTTTCAAATAGAACATTTTTTTAACATCAAAAGCTATTTTTCATTAGCATTTTCGATCAATCATTATCAAAGTTGATGCAAGTTTTTATCATGAAAAATCTCTAAATAAATTACTCAACTGAAATAACTAATTGTAAATAATTATTTTGATAATATTGATCTTTTCATCCTCTTATTAATGCTCTGCAATATCCAAAAATCAGGGATTAAGGGCAGTTTCACTGTATATGTATGTATAACTTCGATTTCTGGTAGTATATATGAGCACATATATGTGATACATGAAAGGAAGAGAGAAAGGATAATCTTAGCTAAGCGATACGCTGAGCTAAGCTGGGTGCTGGACAAGCATACAAAGGGATATGGTTAGAAGTAGAGGAGGAAAGAAGCTGGATAACAGGGGGAGTGTAAGGTTTAGCTTCTAAGCGGCTCATACCTACCCTCTACTTCATGCTACTACTTTGGATACACTCTCTATAGTCCATATTACTCATGATGGTCGCTAATCAGACATACAGAACTATACCATTTGCTAGATAAACCTTAAGCGAAACTGGAAATTACGAGATGCACAGATCACTTAGAAATATTGCAGCATCACTGATGAATGAACTATTTTAGTTTTACTTATAGACATTATTATCATTCAGAATAATAAATAATTAATAACGAACATAAAACTTTATATCCATCAGGAAACTGATGAAATGAATAAATTAATAATTAACATGAAAGAAGTATTTTAAACTTACAGCGTCTGATTAATAAGTTGAACAGAGAAGTGGGAATTGGGGTGATGGAAATGAATTTATGCGTTCCTGATTCTCAAGGGTCATTCGTTAGCCTTCGGTCAAGCTATTTGAAATCCTGACCACCATTAACATCCCTCGAAATTCTCCAATCTGCTTCAATAAATCGATAATAAGTATTTAATCATTTTTTATTGTTTCTGATGAAGATCTGCTTGATAAATGTTATGTTAATAATTGACGATCAAAATCAAGAATTGAATAATCAAAATTTTTGTAATTATTTTGTCCATTATAAAAAGAACCTTTTAAAGTAGATTAATCATCCCTGAAACATGTCAATATTTATAAAACGTATTTATGATCCTAAAGGGAGAACTGAATCGTTGGTTAGTAGATAATTCGTAGGCCTATCAGACGCCTCTGTTATTAGGAGAACAGACTATACGTAGGCAGTTTCAGCTGTTCATTTCTCTTCTTCTGTTTCTCTTACTCATTCTCGCTCTCTCAGTTTTTTACCAATGATGGAAAATATGCAAATGAGGTCCTTTGTTCAATACCTGTCGGCTTATTTTTACGGCAAGGGTAGTAGGAGAGAAAAGTAGGTCGTTCGATAATGGTCAGAGATCCGAAATGTATCATGACCCAAATAAGGGCTTTTGTAGGACCCTGAGCATCAGGAGTCCAGAATTCGGAATGTTATTTCATGGCCTCTATCCCCTTCGTTTTCACCAACACTCCCTCGTTGGTTTATATTAATGTACTCACAAGTTAGTGAGTGTTAAAGGTTGAGTTCTATATACACTCAGAAGGATTTTTGTCTCTCTTCAATGAATCCTGGAATCGTGCTTTGGATGCATGTTTTTCTGTTAGTTGTTTACGCCTGAGAAACGTTAAAAAATGCGTCTAGAGGCTGGTTGAGGAAAAATAAAAAGATTAAGGCTGCCATCAGGATAATCAGCGTTTTTTTTTTGGTGGCTAATAGTGGATGATACTTTTTTTCTTTTTCAATAGAAATTTTATTCAGTGAATAAGAGGCACGATGTGAAGAAGAGCCAAAAAAAAAGATTGATTATTGATTTCGATTAGTGTTATTCTGTGAAACTTAAAGATTTATTTTTACTTTCAATTTATCATTAACATAATTTAGTTTATTTTTTTTTAATTGAGCTAATGATCAGTTAAAGGCAATTAATTTTTTATTTTTTCTGTATGAAAATAACAATGTAATATTTCATTAAAATATTGGACAAATTGTGTTTGAAAACTGGGAATAATTGAAATGTTTTCAGTCGATTAAAATTATTCTTAATAATAATATTTTTTATGTATACAATAACAATTTATGTATCACAAAAAAAACATAGTATTTATTTAATGTTTTTTAAAAAAATCAAAATACAAAAATTGTTTTATAATTAAAATTCTCAAAGGATAAAATAAATTTATTGAATTGCAAAAAATTTTTATAAAAAATAATTCAAATAAAAACAACAATCAACATTCAAAACTACATTTAATGTAATTTAATTGAAGAATATGATATTACGAATACTACAATAACCATTCCTCTTTACTTTTGATGAATATGTTTATTTCAATTTTCTCCAAAAAGTATTAATCAAGTGATTGAACCTTCCATTAACCAAAATAATTAAAACCCAACAAAATATTGAAATCGTCATAAAATTAGAATTGGCCACGTGTTCCTTTTGATCCCGTCAATTATGTTCTCCTGGGACAGAGAGGTCACACCGTAGCCTTACCCACATTCCCATGGGATTACCCCATTTAATCCTAACCCTTTGGGTTCTTAACTCTAACGGCCTAGTTGGGATTTAGTCATACCTACAGTAGCCGTAACAGCATCATCCTGCAAAGTGTAGTGGTAGCTGTAGCTAAACTAGTCTTCTACCCCGCTTTCTCTACACATACATCTAACACAATTCCTATCTTAAGACTTGGTTACGTCTCAATGCATGTCTCGTCTAGCTGTCGCATGGCTTGACGCAACAACCCTTGCGCATCGGACATGGATTTCCGGATCAAGACTTTACGATGCTAGCAAGCATGCCTCTGGCGATTTAGAGGGGATATATGCACGCTTGATTATCAGGCTCGCAGAAGGGCCGAAGTGGATGACGCGCTAATTCTCTGCTGCTTTATCCTTCTATTTTATATTTATATTCATACACTTTTTCATTGAGTTATGTTAATGAATTTTTTTACATAAAATTCCACAGTATCTAGAACTTTTTGCTTGAGTCCATTAATATTACAGTAAAGGTTTCAACTCCTGGAAATTTTTTATGGTGTTCTCATGCTTGTTAATTTAATGTCAGACAAAAGGATTATAAGCAGTAGTTATGTACATATTATGGGATAAATGATTCAATTGGGTGAATAAAAATAAGTTGAGCGTAAAATCCGCTCAAGTGATCAAAATTGATCACAGGTGAGAACATGTTCTTTATTATACTTTCCTGCTGCTCCAAGGATTCGATTATCCTGTAGATTCCCACTGATCCTTTATGCCCAGTAGCATCTCATTTTGCTACAATATACCATATCCAACTCCTAAAAATTCATGTCAAGCTCAAAAATCA